AGATAATTGAAGAACCCTTAACCATAACAACGATCTCTATAATCAATAAATGTAAGCCACTTTTTAGACTTACTCTCATTAGATGTGACAATATTGAATTTCTTTTCCTTCTATATTCCTAAAACACTCTCATCTATTAACTTCTGTATGATCACACTGGTTTTCCTGATACTTCCTTGGCCATTCATTCTCAAGAACTGTAATTAGTTTCTTCTCTAACAGTATCTTATATTGGTGTTCCTGGGCTTTTTCCTGAACCATGTTCTCTTGTAACTCTACATACAGAGCCCTGAAAGAGCTCACACCTATTCCCATGGCATTGATTATGGTCTAAACCTCATGGGTAAACTTCTCTATCACCTTCAGTTCTGTCTTACCAATTGTTTACTGATTATCTCCCCATGGGTATATCACAACCATCTTCAGCTCAACAGATCCCAAATGAAACTCATGATCTCACTTTGCCCCTCTCTCCCAATCCACTCCTCCAGTCTCTCATATCTCAGTAAAAGGAATCCAGGCTGAAAGCACAAACCTGAGAGTTTTGTTCATTCATTCATTTCTCTCACCATCAACACCTAATCTAGCAAGTCTTAAAATATCTGTGACTTCATTCTTTCTAATTCATCCACTGCTTATCCCAACTACCACCACCTTAGTCCAGGCTGACATCCTGCCTGCACTATTGGAACAGCCTCTTAATTCATCTCCCTGCTTCCATGCTCACTCTGCTTCAATCCCTTCATACTGTGGCATTCTAAGATAAAAATCTCATTATTATTTTTCTGCCTAAACTCTTCATGGATTCTCACTGTTCTTAAGATAAAGGCAAAATTGTTTTCAAGGGCACAAAACTGCTTCATGACCTGACATTGCCTATCTCCACAGCCTCATCTGGCCCCACAGTGACTCTTGCAGTCCTCTCTCCCACAATGCGGGACTTTAAGTCACAAATTCTCGTCTGCAGCTTTTCACACTTGCTGTCCCTCCTGCTCAGCACCTTTTTCCCCTGCTCCCTCTTCTCATGGCTTTCCCCCACTTATTCTTCAGGTATATTATTACATGTCACTTGCTCAGATAAACCTTCCTTGTCTCTACAGACTGAGACCTGCTGCTATTTCCACAGCATCCTGCACTCATCAAATAGCACTCTATGACCTTGATTACTAGTTTATAGCTAAACTTCCCTACCAGACTGTAAATTCCATGCAGAAAAGGCCAAGTTTGCCATCATGACTGTAGCAGGGCCAGCACCTGGCCTGGTGCCTGGGTGTGGCCAACATTTCATTAATATTTGTTGGCTGTCCTTCAGGCTGAGACATGGATTCCTCAAACTTTAAAGGCAGCAAATTCTCATTTAAATTAGAATAACTACTACTAAATCCCCTCAGAGTAAAAACTCACTATCTTTAACCATTTAGCCCTAGCTTTTGACACTTTGTTACATAATTCCTGGATGTAACTGCAGATCCCTGGAAACAATTAAACCACCCAACCACACTACATCTTATTCAGACAACCCAACATACATGTTTATGCTCTCACTTTGTTCCTTGTGTTGATATCCGTGATTGAAGTGATCCCGACATGTAAAAATAAAGCCAGTAGATAAGTTCATTAACTTGGGAAGAAAATAATGGAATAAACATAATTTTTACCCTTGAGATCTCACTCTGATTCTTCTCCAGATTTCCATACCTCATAGCGCTGCAGAGCAAAGAAAGCTTGAAGAGAGGCATTAAGGCATATGGGAAATTCCTTCCCTAAAAAGACATAACTGAGTTCAACTGCTAGGATTTTTACCCTGCTGATGCTATTTAATCTAGCAACTTAGTAGTCTTTTACATTCGGACATAACGTGATAGTGTTGCAGTAGGGAAGAGCATCAACTGGAATTTTATACACCTGATTTCTCAGAATGTTGCTTCCCTGGGAAATAAGTGGGACCCATCTCTGGTATCGTGTCTTATTAGAAATCACAAACCAGAGAAACATCACTTGTAGATGCTGCCACTGATCAGGGAAATGATATCAGCTTCTCAGTTAATAATACCTGACACCTTTTCACCTGGTAAATCCATAGTTTTCAGTCTGGCCTACACATAAGAATCACAAACGGCAGTGTATTTAAATTTTTATTTACATAAGAAAACCACCACCTGGTGACCCTGTTAAATGCTGGTTTTGATTCCGTAGGTCTGGTGCAGGGGCTAAAATTCTACATTTTAAAAGTTCAGATTTTACATTTGGTAATGCCAACTCTAACAGTCTGTGGACCACACTTTGAGTAGTAAGGACATACATTTTTAAAATTCAGATTATTGTGCCATCCCCCAATAAATGTAATCAGAATCTCTGGGAGTGTTTTAAAGCTCCTTAATTCAAATATATAACCAATGGTAAAGAATCTCTGTATTAAATGCCTATCTCACAGAAATGTCGTTATGTTGAAATGACACATCCTGTGAGGGTACAATGCATAGTAATATTAATGAACACTATTATTAGTCATAAAAAGATTTTAAGCAGTGAACATTAATCAAAATATTTCGGGGATGTGGCAGAGTTTTGGCAGGCAGAGAGGTGGAGAAGAGGAAAGTTATATCTGAAAAAGAATCCTGCAGAACATCACACAACCAAGGAAAACAAGACCCTTGGGCTAGTAAGACACTAAGGCACCAACTCATTCACCCCCCTGCCCAACTTACCCAGTGTGTTTGAGAGTGACTCAAGAGCCCAGACCCAAGACCCTGCTCCCTTTACTCATTATAGACATGTGAAGTAACAGCCTCTGTAGTCATCACCTATGTCTGTCTGCACCATCTCTTCTCATATCTCCCATTCTGCCCATCCCTGGGCCCAAGGGGCTCTGCATCCCGGAGGAGTTTAGATCCTGGAGGAACTCATTAAAAACAAAGTAATTACCTAGGACCTGTCTAGGACAAATTGTCGCAGAGTCCTGCAGTGGTGAATGATTACTGTCACTGATCACACCTGACTATACTTTGGGGGGTCAAGAGGATGGAGAAGCTCATGGATGGATGCTTAGTCATTGCCTGTTTAGGGAATGGACTGTGTAGCTGGAGCCTACATTTGGGGAGGTGAAGAATGGTTGGAAAAGCCATAAAAGCAAGGAGAAACCACACTGTAAATCTCCTAAAATTTCTTAAGAGTATGTAAGAGTTTAGGCTTTATCCTGTGGACAGGAAGCCATCAGTGATATCTCAGTAAAGTACCACAATGAAAGACATATTTTGGAAATATTCCAAGGATGGCAGAATCTCTCACTACAACCCAGCTCCCTATAAACATACCCCAGTGGGGAGATAAAACTGCCACTAACAAAGATCCCACTTCTACGATCCAACCATCTGCAGATATACAGAAAAGACAGGAATAGGAGAAAAGATGAATTCTCCCAGATAATGTTCAATTCTTCCCCTCCCCTGCCCAAAAAAAAGAAAAAGGAAGACCAGATTTGCATCCCATTATTCCTAGTTTCTAACCTCTCTAGGAAAACCTTAATAACATCCAGACACCACCATCATCCCTACCACTCTGTATGTCAGACTACCTCCTAGTGCCAGCTTTTGCTTACCCTGCAATTATCAGGAGTACATAGTCACATTTATAACTCCTTCTACCACACTTATTCCATGTTCCCTTTTTCATCACTTCAGCTCGATTCAATCTTAAATCCTTGGAAATCTGAATCCTCAGAGTTACTGCCTTCACTGAATTGCTATAATAGTTTTCCATTAACTTTTAGTAAATGACACCCAAAAGAATCTCCTGAGTGTCAGACATGATCTTTCCTTTCTTCATCCTATAGATAAACACAATTCTATTGCTAAATGGAATCAAATTACTTCAAGCAATGGGTAACCCCCTGGATTGTCTGTTGGTTCAATGACAAATGAAGCCAAAATTGCCAAGTGGCAGTCTCAACTTCCACTAGAATGGAACCACTGAAGCATTTCTTGTAGAAGCATTCCTTCCTTGGGAATTGTATCAGACTCTTGTGCACCACTTCAAATTCTATCAGCCATCATCTCTTATTCCAGCCACAGCTTCAGTAACCAGTTTTGCATGGACTTCAACGAGCTTCACGTGGATACAGTCTGAGATTATTACCTCAGACCTTCTCTCCCTAATTCTTGTGTCCTGCCATATGGTTTCTCTGATTCCATGAAGTAGAATATCATGGAAAACCAGCTCAATACTCATATGAACACAACCTGAAAGCACAAGGGATTTAATGCTCAAAGGGTCAATCCTTAACTACAGATGCTGGAAGCTGACGGATATATGCCTCGGTCACTCCTCGGGTTCACCAACTCAATAAGCCACCCTAGTATTGGGTATCCCTTTTTCCCTATTTAACATCCCTTTATCTCTCCCTCCTCTCTATGAGATAAAATTCTCAAATAAACTACTTACAAATAAGACTCTGTCCCAGTCTCTGCTTTTTTGGTAACCTAGGCTGTGACAGAAAGTAAGATCTGTAAACCCCCCAAAATTGTGGGGATAAGAAGCAAAAATTCTGTGACTGCATTATTTGGTCTAATAATGAGAGAAGTCAGTCCTGACACTACCCCTTGATTCCCAGACTCATGAATCATGGCTATGGGAAAAATAGCACCATATAATGGGTTCCTGGTTCAAAGCACATACCTAATCTGTAGAGTACACCAACCTTTCTGGTACTTCTAATATTTGTTACTTTGTTAGCTGCTTTGTCTCCAGCACTTTCAACAGGGCTTAATTAATAGTGCTGATAGTGGGCACCCTTTTCTTATTCCTGGTCATAGAAATGCCTCTAGTATTTCCTCCTTTAGCCTGATGCTGGTTTTTGGGCTGACTCAGATGTATTATTATCCCATGTTAAAGAAGTTTCTATCTATTCCTATTATATCAAGCACTTTTTATCTGAAATGCTTGTTAAATTTTAGCAAATACACAATTTTAGTAAAAACAGAGAAATTATTTTTCAAAAACTCTTTCCACATTTCAAATGATTTAAATACTTTAATTCAACAAATAAAATACAGAAAAACAACAGCCATAAAATCACAAAGATGGTAAACTAAAAGAAACAGAGAAATGCTACAATTTATACTAAACTTCCTTTATCGCTATTTAAATTTCATTGGTTACATTAGTATAATACCTCATCTCAACATCAGCAATTTTAACAAATTCTTGGAAAGTTTTTTGCTCAGAAACAGATGCCGGTCTGACAGAAACACATTTGAAAATGTTCTTTTTCTGGTCATAGTTTCCAACACACCTATGAACTCGGCCTCTAATCAGCCTTGGAAGTTCACGATCCTGTTTTTCAAAAAATAAATAGCAAATCATTATTACTTCAACTGAATTTCAATTTTTAAAGCTAATAATATGACAACTAAATATGAATCACTCCAAAATGCTGTAATTCTCTCATCTTAGTCACAGGCCCATTGCTGACAAGACTATAATAGCTAAGCATATATATGGGTGTTCTGTCACAGACGAAAGACCCTCACTTGGGTAGAGCTTCTTAAAAGCTGGCAAGTTGCTGTTTCTTAAAAGACTAAATAATTCACAATGTAATGGCATGTGAATTATCCATTCTTTTATCACACTGCCATAGTTCCCCTTTCAGTAGATGGCAGACTAGGTAGTTCAAACCAACTCTCCAGTTGAGAACAACTAGAATAGCTGGATGAAATATTTTGTTAGAAATCTCCTTGTAGGCATTATAGAAATATCAAGGCAGTGAGGAATTACAGAGACTTCCATCTGGGAGAGTATGGGAGTCCAGCATGGGCCTTACTTGGGGGGTGCTTTCCCCTGAGCTATCTGCCAGTTACAGAAAGGCAGCTGAGAGTCTAAGAAACTGAGCAGAGCTTTTGACAGACCTACAGAGCTGGGAGAATAAAAAACAGAGTCTGAAGACTCCCAGGGAAAAGAGATTCTGATAACCACCCCCAGCCCTACCCCAGCCATAGGGCTGGGACCCAAAAGGGTTATGCCTTTAGGAAACTGTTAAACCAGAAAAAGATCAGCAATCTCTCAATCATGAATAAAATTAAAGCATTCTAAAACTGCTTTCACTAAAAGGTCAGAAGAAGCACTAACTATAAGGGAAAGACTGATTGATAAAAAAAAAAACTATATTAAAATGAAGAACTTTTGTTTATCAAAAGCCACCATTAAGAGTGAAAAAGCAAACCACAAAGTATGAGAAAATATTTGCAATACATATAATGGACAAAGAACTTGTACCCTCCTACAAATCAAGAAAAAAAAAAAGACAAATAACTCAATAGAAAAAAAGAGCAAAAAGCCTGAACAGACTTCACAAAAAAAGATATCTAAGTGGCCAGTAAACATATGAAAGGTTGTGCAACCTCATTATTCACCAGGGAATTGTAGAGAAATGAGATAACACTGATAACCTGTCAGAACGGCTAAAATAAAAAAAGACTGACAATACTAAGTGTTGATGAAAATGCAGAGAAACTACACTAAGCTACACCGCTCATGAACTGATACAATCCTTTAGAAAAATCTTTGGCAATAACTACTGTATTAGAACATATGCATGCTCTATGATCCAGCAATTTCACTTCTAGGTATATACCAAGCAGAAATGCATTCATATGCATAAGAAACATACTTAAGAATGTTCATAGAATATTATGCATAACAACAAAAAATACAGAAATAACCCAAATGCCCACCAATAATTAAATGGAAAACCAAATTGCAGTATTCATACAACAGAATATTACCTATGGCTATACAAATGAATTAACTATCGCTACATGCAACAACAAAGATGAATCTTACAAACATTGTATCAAGTAAAAGAAACAACATTAAAAAAGGTATACTTACTGTATGATACTATTTAAATAAAGTTGAAAAACAGGCAGAATTAATTTATGACATTAAAAGTCATGATAGTGGTTTCTTTCAGGTAGGAGACAAGTGGTAGTGAATGGGAGGAGGCACAAGAGGGTTTCAGGGGTGATAGCAATGTTCTATTTCTTAACCTGGATAACATTTGTGATTCCTTATGGAGTTGTATAGTTATGATTTGTTCACTTTTCTTTATACGTTATACTTCAATAACAATGCTTTTTAAAAAACATTTTGACTAGAGGATAATAATAAGCACTCAAAATATTATAGAGATTAGCATGACAATTACTATTTCTTGATCACCTACATGTCAGGCACTGCACATTCATGTTTTGTAATTTAATCTCCACAACAACCTTTCAAAGTAGGAATTTATCTACCCATTTACAGATAAAAAAAACCCTGCAGCTCAGGTAGTTTAAGCAGCTTACTTAGATCATAAAGCTGGTAAATGGTAAACACTAGTCCAAGTCTGATTTCAGAATTGAGGCCAATTTCAGAATTAAGGCCAAACTCTTTTACAAAAGTATGTAGGTCTTCTAAGGTCTTCAGCCTCCAGATCTCTAGCTTTCTTTGTTACCAAGCCTCTTTCTTAAATCCCAGCCCTCACTCTTCTTTCCCCAATTTCAGAACCACTACCCTGACCTGTATCACTTACTAACTTAACACTCTGGTAACTATAAACTACCTGTAGTTCCCTGAACAAGTCAGGCTCTCTCTTAGCTTCATTTTTTGCATATGCTGCTCCCTCACCTTAGAATGCACTCTTTCTCACATCTTTCCCTCCCAATACACTTTGGCTTAGCTGATTCTTATTAGTCCTTTAAAGATTAAGATAAGATAGGTTACTGCCTTCTCTGAAAATCTTTCCTTGGCCGGCCCGGTGGCGCACTGCTACAGTGCACCGCTTGGGAAGCACAGCGGCGCTCCCGACGAGGGTTCAGATTCCCACATACAGACCGGCCGCTCACTGGCTGGGCGAGGTGCGGGTGTTTGGTGCGGGCGCGACACTGAGGGTTGCGATCCATTGCCGGTCACGAAAAAAGACAAAAAAAAAAAAGAAAATCTTTCCTTGATCTGTCCCAACCTTCCTATCTCCTTCTATAGCACCCTGCACATATCTCTATCATACCATTTATTATACCACAGTGTAACATTTATGTACCTGTCTTTCTATCCAAGATCTTAAACTCTTTGAAAGAAAGATCCATAAACCACTTATATTCCACTTTATACCCTTTGCACCCAGCCTGGCACATAGCAGACTCTCCACATGAGTTAAACAAATGAACAATTTTAACATCAGAACTAAAACTAAACAAAATGTTGAAAAGTACTATTAAATTGTTAACAGAATTTCTATTACAACAGAATCACAGCCTTCATTTTTACATTTTATTGGCACTGGCTTCTCAAAGAATACTTTAAAATACTCACGATTTCATAAAATACACAGGGCAGAGTATTTTTCCCATCTCTCATAAGAAAAGTCTTTGAATAATATGGGCCAGGTGTCACAGCGGAATCAAGAACAGCTAAGCAACATTGAAATGGGGGGGAAATCAATGTTGGTAAAATGCAAATAAAATTTAACAAAGAGAAAAGGACATTGAAATAACTGTTCCCTCACCAGCTTCTCAGTTATATTTATACAGTAATAAAGAATAAATTTTAAGAAGGAAAAGTATTTCTGAAACAATTTTGTACTAGAGAAAACAAAATTTATGACCCTCTCCAACTTAGGAACAGATTATATGTCAAGTTCATACAACTGACAATAATGGGCCATCTGAAGCTTTTCCTTAGAATGTATTCTATAAAGCAGTTAAATCCCCAGACCAGTCTAAAACAGTATTATAATAAAATACACACATATAACCAGTAAGCATCACAGTTTAATGGAGAAAAACACTGACTTAGAATCAGAAGTCATGCATTCTAGTCCAGTTCTTCTACTTATTAGTATTTTGTGATATTGAGCAATTTTGGTTTTTAATTTATTTTTACTGTATACATTTAACATGTACAACATATGTTTCAATATACATATACATAATGAAATCATTACTACAGGCAAGCAAATTAATTTACCCATAACCTTCCATAGTTACCTCTTTTTTGTATGTGGCAAAAGTACTTATAATCTACTCTTAGCAAATTTTCAATATGCAATACAATGATATTACCATAGTCCTCTTTCAGTACATTAAATCTCTAGACTTATTCATCCTATCTAACTGCAAGTTTGTACCCTATGAGGTATCTCTCTCCATTTCCTCCCCCCTCAGCAAACTGTTTAACCTCTTTCAAATCTGTCTCTTCATCTATAAAATGCAAATAGTAATTCATTTTTATCTCAAGAAATTAGTATCAAATAACAGCATTACTCATTCCTTCAGTAACCATCTAGTGAGTACTGGTAGTAGACATTTGCTATTTTGAGGCCAGCCTCCATTTCCCCTAATAAAACCTGGATCTTCTTTTAGGAAACCACTCCTATTCCATTCTTAGCCATGTGATTTGGATGGGATTTGTCCCAATCCCTAGATCCAGGAGTGACTCATGATTGACTTAAATCCATCAGTGTATTTCATTCATTCCTCAGCTACACAGTTCAGGATTTCAGTGATGAGCATGTTACCCAGTCAGAAATGATAATATACAAAGAGTCATTCATTAGTGCAACCAGAAGAAACTTCTTTAAGAAAGTGACAGTGTGGTATATGGATGCATGGCCTAGAGAATTTTGATAATCATCTCACTACCGTAAGGGGGGAGTCAGAAGCTGCTGGAAAGAACAGTATAGAGCCTTATACTGTTGACAGGACTGAAAGATGAAGATAAACCATTGTACCATCTTTAGAGCAGCTGGATCAAGCCTTGCCTGATATCAGAAACCTAGCAACTTTTCAGTTCTGTGAATAATTCCCTATTATTATTTAAGCAGCTAAATTTATTTTGTCACTTGCAACTGAAAGGGACTTCCTATATACCAGGCACTGTGTTAGGCATGAAAGTTGAATAAACGAGTTTATTCAAGTGTTAGATCACACCCTTTTTGTCCTATCACATGGTTGGTTGTCCATACTTCAATCAAGCCTATGTAATGAAGTTTCCATAAAAACCCAAGAGCACAGAACCATGAAAGCTAACCATCACATATAAAAGCACAAGCCTCTTCATCTCTTTATAAGAATGCCTATTTCTCTCTATGTTGGGTAACTGTGACATTTTAAAGAGCATTTTTCTGGAGTGAACCTGAACAGGAAACCAAAGAGAACCAAGGGAAAATGGATGGAACTAGCATGTCCTTTTAATGAGCTCAGGAAATTTTTTATATTTTTATTGCACAAATGACGTAAGATCCAGAGGCATGCCAGAGGCACTAAAAAAAAATTAGTGAGAGGTCCAAAGGGTGT